GAGTATACTAAGGTGAAAGTGGTATGTTTTTCAAGGGGGGGGGGGGAGTGTAAGCATTACTAGGTAGGACTATAGTTTTTATTATAAGACCATTTTTTCACGTGAAGCACAGTACATAAAAGTAGTGTTTGATTGGAGTGCAACAGCCAATTCTGATGTCATTATATAAGTGCTTCTTTGGTATTTGTGTAGTCACTGCAGATTATCGTTTTACTGCTTGTATCTTGTTACATATTATGTTCCCATATATTTTGTACCAGAGTTTTAAATAAAATATAAAAAAAAACAACTTAATTGTACAGTGTTTTGCAGGATGTAAAGATTTTGTATTTTAATGGTAATCTTCGCTTTCAAAGACTTAAATTGAGTTGTGGACGGCACTAACATCCTTCTTATCCCCGCTCCATTGGCTTGGCGCTTCTTTTTGATTATAATATCCCAGCTCCAGTCTACCTTATGGCAATCTGTAAACTTACGCTGTCGGTTCTAACTTCATAGATTTTCTTTTGTAATTATCTGTCGCTTGTAGCAACCTGATAACATAATGGTTTTTTTTTTTTTTTAATTCAATCTAACAGGTTTTCTTCTGAATTTATGCATCTCCTTGCTAAACACAGCGATCAACGTGGTCAAAAGTCTGACTTTGTAATCTTTAAAAAATGTCTACTACAGCAGTTATGAACTTTGCCATTGCGGTGCCACTAGTACGAAGCAATACAGAGGCAGATTTCCTGCTTACTAGTACTTAGTTTTCCCTCTCCTTCCAATACCGTTTAAAACTTATGACGGTCCTCTAATTTTTTTCTTATAAATCTGTCAAGAATGGCTTTTTACCTGGCTCTATGTACTGTAACAGTTTCATCAAAGGAGGGGAAAGCTGTGCCTCTAAGCTTTTCTTAGAAATAAGGCCTACATTTTAAATTTTGGATCCACTAGTATCTTTAATTCTAGTAAATTTGAACTAGTTTTGCTTTCTTAATCTTCAGGGAGAAGGTTGGAAAGCTGCCTGGACTAGCTACATGCCACTCATCTTTGCTTTCTTCTTAAAAACCGAACTTGTTCCCTCTCCAAACTCAAAACAAACTTTCCCTTACACTGTGACCCACTGCGGATTACTTCTCCATGCGTATTTTAAGTTTTCTTCGAGATTGATAATCCGTCCCTCACAGATGTGCTTTGACACTCAACAGTCACCCCTTAATATTTTACTGTAACCCTTCAACGGGAAGGTGGTAATCAGAAATGTGGAAATTTTCTTGAGTGAAAGGCTGTTAATCCACGGAACTTAGTTTCCCTGAAAGTAGAACCTGATTTCTTCCCATTCCTCGTACACTACGGTTTTATAGCTTCTCCATGAAAATCGCTGATAGCTCGGAGCAAAGTCTATTAACTTCATCTGTCAAAGAATAAAGGAATGAAGACAGGTGAATGGTATCACAGGCATTTGCGTTAACCCAAATTTAAATAAAAATTGTACGTACAGCCCAAAAATCAAGTGAAGGCTACTAGTAGCTTCTTGAGGCTGGTCCCCAGCCTCCCGGCTCCAAATCACGATTCTCCATTGATGTGAAATACTGGATTCATTGATGGGAAAACATTAGGAAAACTCTTAAAACCAGTGACCTCGGTGATTAGGAAGCTTCTAAAGTTTAAGGTTTAGTAATTTGGATTTTTTGTGTACTAAACCATATGACCAAATTTATGCATAATTGCTAAGCAGTAAATAGTAAGCTTTTTTTCTTTGGAAGGGCACTAAGATCCCAAGTGGGGGAAAAAAATCACTGCTTGGTTTTCCGTCCTGTGGTCCGAATTCCAGGGATGGTTAGTCTCCAGGCTAAGTTCTCTTCGTACCCGAGCTGTTGGTGTCCTGGGAAACAAACTTGTATTTTCAGTGATAAGACTACGGTAGATTTCACTAATCAGATATGCCCTGGTAGTGGTGAACCTGCTAAGCCCTGAACATTAGGAAAAAGTTCGGCACGACATGGGGTAATATCTCCCCTTAAAAAGGAATCTGCACTTAGTCTAGTGACTATCTTTCATGCGCATCTTCCATATACCTGTTGGCAGGTGCTCCGGTCCCACGTATAGCTTGTAACGTACTACTGATTCTACAGTCTAGGTTTGCCCGCGGTCATAGTCTTTATATCGCCCTTCAAGCTCTTAAAACTAGCAAACAGTTGTACTATTTTTTTCGGTTCAGAAACCAAACTGGTTTTAAAATACTGAAACAAATCGATCACGGAGCTCGTCTCTGGCGCAAGTTTTTCTTAATTTGTTTGGTGAAGTTAATCTCGTACACGTTAATTATGCATAAATATTAAGTGGTACATACAGAAAGTTTAACTAATTATATTTGAGCATAAAACTGAAATTTCCATATCCACAAATATATACACATTAGTTTTTAGCCTTTACTTGTTCAGTATCTCTTACACGACGGTCCAGCAATAGTCTACCATCGAACAATTTATTTGATCTCTTCTTCATGATGGCTTTCTTTAAATTTTAATTTATCGCCGACGTTTGGCGGGAAAGTGAGAAAGAAAATATAAGGGGGATAAAAACCTCCTGCAGTTTTTGTGTGAAGGGAATAGTGTAAAATTATAGGGGAATAGGTCTGTTAAGTATACCTGGTAAAGTGGATTAGTTATTATTGATAGAATTAAGACGGAGAGCAGGATAGCAGATGAACGAGGAGGATTTAGGGAAGGTTGGGGGGGGGGGGTAAAAAGGTTTTCGTCGCATTTATGGATTTGGAAAATGCATATGATAGGGTGGATAGGTGGGCAATGTGGCAGATGTTACAAATAGGAGGTAGGTTATTGAAAGCAGTGTAGTTTTTTTGAGGATAGCGAGGCTCACGTTAGAGCATGTAGGCGATAGGGAGATTCTACCAGTGAAAGTAGGCCTTAGACAAGGATATGTGATGTCACCATGATTGTTCAATATATTTGTAGATGAATGCTCAGGTGTTGCCAAGGGGTTAAAAGATTAAGAATATAACAAGTGGGAGTTGCCACAGTTGCTCTTTGCTGATGACACTGCGTTTGGGAGATTCTGAAGAGAAGTTGGAGGTTGACGGATTACTTTGGAAGGGTTTGTAAAAGGAGGAAGTTAAGTGAATATAGGAAAGAGTAAGGTGATGAGAAATACAATCTTCCGTTGTCTAATTTTGTTAATCAGAACGGAGGGAGTATGTAGGTGAATGTGCTCAGATATTGGGAAGTGGACGTGTCTGCAGATGGGCCTGAAGGATGAGGTGAATCATAGAATTGAGGGGGAAAAAAAGTGGTGCACTGAAGAGTCTGTAGAGATGTATGAGTATAGTTATACTAACGCTCTTGTATGGGTGAGACATGGGTTATGAATGTTGCAACAAGGCTGGAGGCAGTGGAAATGTCATGTCTGAGGGCATGTGCAGTGTGAATATAATGGAGAATCCATAGTTTGGAGATTAGGATATGTGGGATTACCAGAGGGCTGAGGAGGGGTTATGAGATGGTCTGGACATGTAGAGAGGTTGGAACTAAATAAAATGATTTGGTATATAAATCTGTAGTGGAGGAAAGACAGGGTAGTGGTCGGCCTAGAAAACGTTGGAGGGAGGGGGTAAAGGTTGTTTTGCGTGAGGGGCTTGGACTTGAAGCAAAAGTGTGTTCGACAGGAGCGAATGGATTTTAGGACTTAACGCGCTGTTGGAGTTTAAGCACGGTAACATTTATGAATGGATTCTGGGAAACTGGCAAGCGGGACTTCCTGGAGAGGGGAAGTACTGTCTGCACTCTGAAGGAGGGTTGTTAATACAGTTTTATGAATGTGGACATGCCTCTGGCAAGACAGTGATAGCGAATGTTTTTTTCATTTTTGTGCCACCCTGCCTTGGTGGGAAACTGCCGATGTGTTAATAAAAAAAACCTAGATACTGCTGTCAATAGGTCTAAAATATGACTACCCAATAAACCTGTAGAAATATTCTTATGTCACCCTAGCTCTCGGCTGTATCAAACTTTCCTCTAAACTAAAACCGTTGAATAACTACCGAATCTGAGGGCCGACGACTATGCCTTCCTTGATTCACTAAGAGTCGAACCCTGAACGTTTTCAGTCCGGAAGTTATCAAGCCCAGCTTGATTTGTAAAGGATGAAGTATATTCTAATATTCTTCACATTTGCCTCAAGATTATGCAAGTTGGTCACTTGTTATATTAGTGCTGCATTTTAAGACTGTACCACAGGCACGGTAAATGCCAGTACTTCGTAAATCCACTGTTCAGTCCTAGTAACAAACCTAAAAAAATTCATTCGATCAGAAGTTTTTCTCTTGAGGAAGTCACCTTTGGTGGGTGTTGCCATTGTAGCCATGCTTGAAAATACCGTTCTAAAAGAAAACAGTCTGCAAAATATAAATCTTCCCTAAATGACAAAGTTCTCAAAGTTGCAAAATAATTGAGAAGTTTTCCCACTTTTTTTTTTATGAATGGTTTAGAAGACCGACAAGTTGACAAATTGACACTTATGCAACACATGGGAATCTTTATTGAAGAAACATTTCGCCACAGTGGCTTCATCAGTCCAATACAAAGTAGAAATGGGTAAGGAGAAGAAGTTTGAGGTAATCAGTCCCTCAACCAGGTTGAGGGACTACCTCAAACTTCTCCTTACCCATTTCTACTTTGTATTGGACTGATGAAGCCACTGTGGCGAAATGTTTCTTCAATAAAGATTCCCATGTGTTGCATAAGTGTCTCAATTTTTTAACTTTTAATTTAGACATTCTGGTAGTTTGGTACTTGTAGAAAACTTAATCTTTCTTTAGACACTAATAATTTAGTGGCCTAATAGATCAATTATTTTTACTTGGTATTATACTGTTCCGAGTGTTCATTGCTTTTTAATTTTGTGCCTGACTTGTATTTTGAGTCTACCTACGTACTCTCCTCCGTAGGGACAACTACAAAGTTTTAGTTCTTAAGACCTTTAACTGTCAATGCTTTCAGTCATGGTTGGTGGAAGAGCGTTCTTTGTCGACTCTGGTAGACCTGGACGAGTACATGGAAGACCTTGTTAAATTGGCTCGTCTACAAATTTCAAAGGCCTTCACGGAAGAATCTCGCCGCTACCGCAGAGGTGAGGGACTAGGCCGACATTTATTTAATTCTTTTATGCAGTTAATCGGGTAGCTGAATAAATATGACTCCTGACTTCAGTAAATCTTGTTTACGAGTATCTTATGTTCTAGCACTGGACATGGCATCTATTAAGGTGAAAGGAACTGAAGATGTTGGCTTTGAACTTGATGAAGATCAGGATTTTGGGACGAAACAGGTGACAGGGTTTCACTTCTTTACCCATGAACATGCATCTTACTGGATATTTGGGAGCTCAAGGTACGTAAAGGCTAATTTGTTACTGTTTTGCACTTGCTAATAATAAAGTTGACCCATGGACTACTAGAGGATCGTTCGGTTGGCATGAAATTTGTTCATGAAAGATTAATTTGTAAAATGAGTAAAGTGAACTTTATATATACACCGTGAAACTAGGACCTGTTCTGAGTGGTCTCGCTTGCGTGGTGGCTGGTTGATGGGACTAACGCAATTTTTCTTCATAAGAGCATTTAGTATTGGTAGTTACTAATTGCTTTCTTGTGACTTATCGCTTAGGGTCAGCTTAAGGTCTGGTAGCTGCTTTTAGCTTTTAATGACTTCACTAAATTTGTCAGGACTGAGATGCAGACGGTGGCTTCCTGGTCTCCAGCGTCTCGCACCCTCACAACCATAGCTAAATTTCAACTTACCTTCACCAGCCTGGCAGAAGTTAACATAATAGCTGTAAGTTCTTTAATGACGTTTGGGAAGATTCCCTTCATCCATTGTTAAATCCTTAATGCTATAACAGATTAATACTAAAGTTTTATTTCCTTAGTATAATTGTTTGGCTTGTTGCATAGAAACTTTATATAGAAACTGTATAGCTTGTATTAATTGCCTCAAGGTTTGAAGTTGTGAAACTAATTTTTGTAACAAAATTACTTTGTAAAAATGTTATTGATATTGTAATGTTTCAGCCCAATTCTACAACGGTTTTATAATCCTGGCTCTTGGCTCGTCAACATCAAGGTTTGTGAGCATAGTGTGCATTAACGTGTCTACCAGACAGTTAAGTACACCACAAGTTATACCGTCCAGGGGTGTAGTGGGCGCCCTGCATCTCTTCAAAGCCTTGGAGAAGCTGTACCTTGTAATAGGCGAACAATACTTTGCTACTCCAGGCGATGATGCTGCTAACTCCGCGTAAGTAAAGTAGGCTTCCTTAATTGCTAACCTTCCTTAATAGTGCCCCATGATGTGTAGTTCTTTGGCTAACATATCAGAAAAAAATCTTAGCTCAAACTTTTCACTGGCCTATTATCCTCCGCCATTGCAGAGCATGGAAAGGATGGGTGGGGAGAGTTATGGCTTGTTGAAAGATGACTGCAGTTTTTTTCCCATTTTTAGTCAGATTAGTTCTATGCCTGGCAGTGAATTTTGAAATCTTGCAACATGCAGGCCGTATCCCACAGAGGCGGGGCGGCCCAAAAGGAAAATAGAATGTTTCTCCTTTTACATTTAGTAATATATATAGAAGGTTACTAACCACTTGCTCCCGGCATTCTAGTCGCCTCCACTTCCCCATGGAGATGAATTTTGAAATATCTCTGAAATATCTATTGCTCTACAGATTAGATTTCAAGCTTTGAGCTGGTGAACTTTTGAATTATTTTAGGTTTGCATGTTAAATTTGCATGCAACTTTTGACTGCCTATTCTGAGTTATATATTAAGATATTCCCTAAATGGGGCCTTGAAGTGGTTACCAGCATTATTCAAAATTTTACTTGGCTCCTAATAACGCCTCATACGATCTGATTCAAACTTTCATTATTGGTGTATGTTAACTATGGCAAGTCTGGAAAAAGTGGAGTGTGCAATTTGCCCCATGACAAACTTCTAACTCGGTTTTCCAGCATCATGATGACTCTTAACTTCAAACTGTCGTAGCTCAGTTTGTGATCCTAATTCCAGGAAGGTGGAAAATGAAATTAGTGTAAATGCACACGTGCTAGTGTAGGTGTAAAATAGTGTAAAACTTTCGTTCACTTGTATAAATTTTTAAACTTCTTAAATGGCTTAATGGCTTCTGAACCTTGTAGCAAATATTTAGTTGTTGGCTAATAAGAACATAACATAAGAAAGAAGGAACACTGCATCAGGTCTACTGACCCATGCGGAGCAGGTCCATGTCTCCCCCCCCCCCCCCCGGATTATCCCAATGATCCACCCAGTCTGGTCACCTCCACTCCAGGAAGGAGCACGGCACCAGACCCAGTAGCACAAGCTAGTCAGGTCCAACTCGCACCCACTCGTGTTTCTTGCCTGTTTTTAAAACTACACAACGTTTTAGTCTGAATAACTGTACTTGGGAGTTTGTTCCACTCGTCCACAACTCTATTACCAAACCAGTGCTTTCCTATATCCTTTCTGAATCTGAATTTTTCCAACTTAAAACCATTGCTGCGAGTCTGTCTTGGCTGGAAATTTTCAGCACGCTATTTACATTCTTTATTCCTGTTTTCCATTTATACACATCAATCATATCCCCCCTAATTCTACGCCTTTCGAGAGCAGATTCAGGGCCTCAGAATATCCTCATTGGGAAGATTTCTAATACATGGGATCATCTTTGTCATCCTCTGTACGTTTTCCAGAACATTTATATCCATTCTGTAATACGGTGACCAGAACTGAGCAGCATAGTCTAAATGAGGCCTAACCAAGGATATATAGTTGAAAGACAACCTGAGGACTTCTATTATTTATACTTCTAGATATGAAGCAAAGAATTCTGTTCGCTTTATTGCGAACACTAATGCACTGTTCTCTTGGTTTTAGATTACTGCTAACCAGAACTTCTAAATCCTTTTCGCAATCAGTAGTATTAAGATCTACATTTAGTTTATATGTGGCATGGTTATTTACCTGTTGCCTCATGAAATCGACTCAAATTTAAATACTAGTGTGGTTTCTTGAATGATAGATCCTCTTTAAAGGGGGGGGGGATCCTTGCCGACGTAATTGGACAGCTTGTTCTTCCTCAGACCTAATCATGTGCCCGCCCTCCTCCCTTCCCTATACCATTCTCCCCTCTAGCATTACGGTTTCTAGGTGGGGGTGACATGCTGGGGTTCGTCTCTCTCCGTGAGGTCCCTCTGGTGTAGTTTGCGGTGGAAATTGAATTCTGAGGATGCCATCCTCCCTTCCCGGATTTCTGGGTAGTGGGCGGTGCCCTTCGGATGATGGGGGGGGGGTTATCTCTGGAAGCTGCCTCTGTTCTGGGGGCTGGCAGCCGAAGGAGGTATATTTTGTGAGTTTCAGACTGTCCTTTTTGTCCATCGAGGCAGTTCGGTAGATGCGAGGCTATCCTGGAGTGCTTGTTTACTGGCGTTAAGGGTAGGGTATGGCACGGGTCCCACGCTGTATCTTCTACCAGTGGGCTCGAGCCCCTCTCGGATGAGCAGCTTTCGGTCCCTCCATGCTTCATAGCGGCTGTCCCTCTTTTTTTTTTTATCACGTAAGGTGCACCAATTATGGAGTTTCGCCCAGTGAAACCCTTCCTCCTCCCAGGCTCAATTCTGATCCCACACCCTCTACTGACCTGGCTTCGTTATCGGACCATTCTCTCGATTCTACTCGTCCCCCTGTACCTTCTGCCGGTGACGCTTCGTCACCTGCTTCAGGTGCTGCAGAGTCGCCAGTTTGTTCATGCTACTGCTTCTAGCATGCCTTTCACAATGTGTCCAGCTTCCCCGAATAGTACGACGGTTCTCTGATTGCCCACCTCCCTCGGGTCAGACCACCCACGGTTTTACTAAGCATCCAAGACAACCTACTGACGACAGTTCGTCGATGACTGCTCAAAAACTACCTAAAAGACAGTAATATGGGTAACCGATAAAGAGTACAGCGGGACATTTTCTTTACAAACAAGTCTCAAACTGAAGATTAATCTTTCTGATAGCGGAATTAGTAACTCGTTTATGGCATGTTAGCTTAAATATATTCATGAAATACGTATGAAATACGTATATTTCAACTGTTTTGTTCCTAGCTATCCATGGAAAAATAGAATAAAGCTGTTTATCCTAGTAGCTAAGGACTGATTTAAAGTTGGGCGAAGGTGTTATGGGACATGTTGAGCAATCCATGGGATGTGGGATGGGGTCTGAAATAGTAAAAAAAAAAAAAAAAAAAAAAAAAAGGGGGGGGGGGGTGACAAACAACTTGGGCTGGACCGTCGTTGGAGGGCAATAAGCAATGTGAATATTTTATAGATTAGGACATGTGGCGTGGGGAGGGATGGGGGTTACCACAATTCTTCACAGGATAGATTAAGCGGTTGTGGTAGTCTGGGCATTTAGAGAAGTTGGGTAGAAATTATTGCTAGGGCTTGTAAATCCAGGGTGGAGGGAAGGTGGGGTGGTGGTAGTCCTGGGAAGGCGTGGAGGGGAAAGGGTGGGGATAAAGGTAGTTTACTGCTAGGAACTTGGACCTCAAAGGTTTGTGAATGTTAGTGGAAGTGGGTTTTTATTTGACCGGTTGGAGTGTAAGCAAGGTAATACCTCTGAAGGGAGGAGGGGAGAGTGGGATCAAGGAAACTGGTTGGCTGGTTTCCCACTCCGGAGGTGGGATAGTACACTGCCTTCACTGAGGCAGGGATGTAGTAGTATGTCATCTGTGACATCAGCAAACTTCTGGTAAGTGAAAAAGTTCTTTTCTGTGGTGTTTACACTACATTGGTGGGAACTTTAGATGTTTGTTAGAATTTGCTTATACTGACAATGTTCTGCTGCAAAAACAAAATGAATACGAGGCTTTCTATGAGGGCGACGACTCCGTGTGACTGTACATGCAACGTAAAATCTTACTGTTAGATTCCAAAATTCAGTGGAAATTACATATATGCATAAACGGTTCATGTCTTTCCTGCCTATACATAGGCACAAAAGCATATAATTGAATGTGTGCATATTCATACATTTACATATACCTGTTCTGTTAATAAGTGCTCGTACAGATGCCCAAACAAACTTGTAAATTTATAAATGTACACATGCACACGAGCTGGAGCCTGTAATTTCATGCATACATGTGTATAATGCATAGTTTTAACTTGGTAGTATTTTTTTATCCTGCATTATATTGTTTACGTAGACAACTTGGGTAATACAGGGAATAACTTTAGATCACACCAAACTCTTCTAGTATTGAATTGCATTTCTATATTGTGCTAGACTCTAGCATCCCTCTGAACAGAAGACTGCTTGAACTATGCCAGACGAGGATACTTTTCTTGGATCGTCCAGAGATTCCACATTAGATCTATTTCCCCTTCCCTCCCCCAGCGGTAGATACTTAGATATCGGCTCTTCAAAATTTAATTCTAGTATTGTTCTGTGACGTTTTTGATCAGCAAATTTGTGGTTATCAAATTAGGCAGCAATAGCATCACTAGTAAATAAATCCACTGATAATTCAGGTTAAACATAATGAGCAAAATATTTCTGAAGTCTTTAAATTGCTTGCAGGCGAAGCCGAAGAAAATCTGGAAATCTGAATGCAAAAAGTGCCTAGGAATTTCCTTTAGCCTTTCATGTTGACTTGCTGCCCTAACTATAAGGAATTGACTTTTTTTTTTTATATTTTATGTTCGGTCTTGGGAATTCGCAATTTTTGTTTGAGGATGATTCTAGTTTAGAACTACCATGGATTTGAAATTTACGGTTAGTGTTTAACTTTATATTTTATATAATTATTAACCACTAATGTTCTTAGAACTGACCTGCTAGTTGGAACTTGGCTCACTAAGAGTTCCTCGTTGCTTGCAAGAAATTGGTAAAACCTGTGATCCAGGAGACTAATAACCTTCACTATTGATGCAGGATGTATGTTATGGTGGGAGAATACTTCGACTACCTGGATGACGCCCAGTTGACGGCCTCTGGAGTGACAGACATAACAGGCTTTGCTGATGCTGGTAGTTACTACCTCGTCTTTGGCATGCAGTCAATGGTTAGTAGCATTTTAAGGGGGTAATTGTAAAGTATTTTACCGTTTCCTCTGCCACGATAAAATTGATTGTACATACATCATGGTTAAAATGGGAAAAAAACATACGAGCGCTTTCATGTCCTTACACGCTGCACTTAACATGTAAGCACATGAACGCGATAGTTTTTTGCACTTATCGGCATTTATAAATCTGCACGTACGTGCTATAATTCGATCAGATTCGGGCAAGACCCACAAGTGGGTCAGCGGGGACCAAATAATAAAATCCGGTGAGAGGAATGTCTTGTTTGTAGTTAACCAGGGCTAAACCCAGCAGCAAGGAATTGTGAAGCAAATGTTGACTATGTAGAAAGCACGAGAAAGTACTGCCTGAATCTTGAGCTGTGGTATATCTTGAACTAGAAGGTAAATTGGTGGCTAGATCTGAAAGCATGGAGAGAAGGCAAAATATGAATGTGATTGGTCATTTCAATTTGAAGAGGTGGCAGCTACGTCGTGATTGGGTGGTATTCTTAGATGTGACCATATTAGTCCTATTTTCCGGTCGTGGAGCAGTTTGCAAGTCTTGTATGCAGATTTTAATGATAGTTTTGTCCAGGTGAGTGGAGTCTGCATTAGTTCAAGTAGGGATGGTTTCAGTGCAATGTCTGCAACCAGTAGTAAGTGTACTAGAGTTCCATGGTGCATGATATACTGTCAGTTGCATGCAGCAACTGGTCGAGTGGATTTGCGCAGGAAGTGAGGTTTTTCTTAAGAAATTTCTTCAGGTATTGGGTAAGCTTGCGGCAAGTTTCAGGTGGTTGTCTTGGCTCTTGTTGCTTGTTGTGGAAGTTTTAAGTTGAAGTTGATTCGTCAATAGTAGAAGTGGTGGTGGAAGTTAATGGTGGCTCTCATTGGCGTGCATACCTTGTACGTGTATTTGTAAAAATTATTAAAAGCTCTAATAACCTGACCAGCTCCTGTAAATATACATTATCTATCTAAAACTTTTTGAAGCTTTTTTTTTTATAACTCAAAATGGCATTAAGTAAATGTCAGTGACGGGGGGTTAACTAAAAAAAAAAAATCTTGTGAATTAAGGAGGAAAAAGGACTATAGTTAGTGGCAGTCCTCAGTGTTGCCATGAAAGTCAGTTTTACACCTGCTAGCAACACTTTTAATTATGCATTTCAATTGTTTGCTTTATTAAAATGTTTTTTCAGGAAAGTATTTTTCATTAAATTTTTTCTCCTGGTTAAATTTTAATCAGTGACTAAATCTGAACCATTAAACTATGGTCTAAATGTAATTAAACACTGGTAGGCACAATAAGCAACTGAGGAGGACTTGCAGTTAGTATGAGGGTTTCAGTTACTAATCAGGGGATTGGAGGGGGTGGGAGAGTTTAATCATGTAATCCTAAAACTCTTGCCATGAGGTTAAACGTTATTCTTCCCCTCCAAATCCCCGAGTTGCTTGCAACAGTGTTAAGATTACTACTTCACCTCTAATGGCTAGAAACTTAACATTCTTAGATGTATTGAGTTTCCTGGTACACTGGCAGGAAGGATCACGTGTATACGAATTCAACCTGGCCCTGGAGACCTTGACCCTGACCCAACAACTTCCTGAGACTCGGGTGTTGAGCGTCCATCACTACCTCGACCACCATGACAACAAACATTACGTCCTTCTAATGAATAATGATGCCCCAAATATCTACTGGTGGAACCGTAAGTGTATTGTCTACTATAGTTTGGCATGTATATTATAAACTGGCTTACTATGTTGTGGGTTGTTACTAGGTTTAGTGTAAGGAAGATTTCTTCCTCCAATATTGAGTTAATTTACTCTCATCCTCATAGTAATTCCCCCCCCCCCAGTTTCTTCAGTCTAACTCATGATACATGGGAGGATTTCTTGTAATTTTTCCAAGGATTAGTCCCTTAAGGTTGTATTAATATAAAACTAATGTAATCATGATCAGTTATACTCCTTCACCCTTACGGAAACTAAACTTTTCTAATTTTTAAGGCAGAAGTGTTAATTGCCCAAATCTCAAATTTTACCTTTAAATGTAAAGATTTAATTTTTGGGGGTTCATAATCGACACTGCTTGAATGGGAACTTGGAATAATTAGCAATTTTTCTGCAGTCCTAAATACAGCATCTTTAGCTTTCAAACAGCCTTCAGTGTATTAAGCCGCTCCTTTTTTAGTTTTCTTTAACTTTGGTAGATGGTTAAACAATAACTTAGTTATTAAGTCTGAAATACTTTTACAGATAAGCAGTTGCAGAAGTGGCAAGTGTTGGACTATCCCGATGTTATTGATCTCACTAGCAGTGTTGGAGTCCTGCCATTACACAACCTGGAGAACCTTCTCTTCGTAACCACAGGGGCAAGTATTTAAATATTTTTCTAGTAATGGTGTCAAACCTAGGAAAATGCTTTAAAATGTTTAATTTTGACTGAAATTTGGAATTATTTCCTCCCTAATATTTAGTATTGCCAGTGGAAGGATAAGGGGGAGGGCGTGTGAAAGTACTGACGGGGATAACTTAAGAGATTTAGGGAGGCTGGTAAATCACCTTTTTAGTCTAATCTTAACTGTCACTTAGCATCCATATCTATAAATCTGACTACATCAAAACCTTCGTATGATCTTTAAAATTTCTTAAATCCTTTCCCTTTGAAGTAACCTTTTTAAAGTGTATCGACAGGCAACAATCACGCTATATGGAGACGACTTAACGGGCCACTACTCTCCTTCCTTCAGTCTACACACATCTTGCATTACCGTGAAGGACGTGTATGGAGTCAGACTAGAAAATAACTATTATATAGTTTACATTTGTTCAGCCACTGTAGACACTTTGGAAGCAAAAGTCCTCGATTTGGAAGATATAATATTAGGTGAGATTTATTTCGGAAACTTAGTTGAAAAAGAAATGGAAATTGACTAACTGAATGACACTTTATACAACCTTTCTTTCTAGATGAGGAACCTGGAGACCCACTGCTAAGGTGTCTGGCTGACTTGTCTAGTATGCTAACAGCAAGAAAGTCTGAAGTTTCTTACCTTGAAGAAGTGATCGTGAAAGACACTCTCATGAGCGTCAACCATGCCCAGGCTAGTTTTATGCTTATTCAAGGGTGCAGAAATTGGCCAGCGAATTTAACAGATGAATAGGAAAATTGAAAATAGGTTAAAATTCAGGCTGTGGAAAGTTTTAAGTACGGCTGTATCTGAAATAATTTCAGGTTTGGAGTGGGCCTGTAGTCTTCCCGGAGTTGACCGTAACTGGTGAGATGTCTGTTAGTCACCCGGTGGTTATCGGGTCGCCAGTGGGAGCAACTGGAACTAACGAGTCTGTAGACCATTACGAAGCTGCCCTAATGAATCTTGAGGTAATTTATGCATTGACAAGGGAATTAAATGTGGATTTTAAGTTGGTTACCATGGTTAACCAAGCTCTAATCTGTAAATTGTATATATTTTAGACAGAGGTAGAGGCTATTAAAGAGGAACTACCCATGGTGTTGCTGTACTCTGGCTCCCAGACCATATCTGGACCCATCACTGCTACCTCCCTCTCCGTCGATCACGTCTACTTCGATGCACTCGTATTGCAGAAGGTTAGAGAGACGCAGCGATCTGACTTAACATCAGATTCCTTTCTTTCTCATTCTCTCTCTCTCTCTCTCTCTCTTCTCTCTCTCTCTCTCTCTCTCAGCCATGGAATTTGTGCCTTTTACATTCGAAAAGTTAACCCGTTTTGGCTGAGGTTTTAGCAGTCGGTGATTAGTCTCTTGAGACTTGAGAAATTTTAAAATTTTGTTTGCGCTTCTTGTGGCGCTGATGTTACCACTGACAAATCTAGATTCTCAGTTTACTGGGTATTTAGTCTTTGCTGCTTTAAACCAGCTTTACAGTATTGGCTAAAAATATATTGCACCAGAACTTGTAGAATTAAATAACTGAATAATTAAAATTCAGACGAAGGCTTTAAATTCAGCTTAGTGTCTGCACAGGCTCTGAAAAAAATCTGGTTAAGAGGTGGCATAAAATTAAAATTTCAGAATTTGTTCAGGAATGTGCAAATTTGAGATGTGGTTAGTTACTATAATTCCCAAAACTAACATATGTAATTACTGAAGGAAGGAATGTTAGTTAAACTACTGACTTTGAACTGAAGAAATTCAGAGGCCAAATTTTTATTTAGTTTAAATTACTTAAATTTTAAAGTTAGCCTAGAATAGAGTAGCATTAACAAGTCTTCTTATTTCAGGCCTTGTATGAAGTGTTGCTGAAATGTTTCTTTCCAGGTTTGTTAGAGTAGATTGCTGCAGCAGTGCGTCAACTTTAAACTTATTATTGTAACTCTATCGGACTTTCTTGCATTGAAGCTTCAGCTCTTAGAGGAAATGTATTTCGTGATTAAAATCTTTGGCAGGTTAATGGATTTCATTTGGGGAGGACAGCCCAAGAGTTTCTACTGGATGATGTTGATCAAACAATAGAGGGCATGTGGCACGTAGACTATCTGGGTACAAGAGTGTTCAGCACCCTGGGAGACACAGTACCCGGCATGATCTCTGGAGTAGTTAACAAGTGGTAAGTAAGTCTTGAATAATTTGAACAGTATCAAGCTTTCAGGGAATAAAGATGTTGAACTGAACAGATAATGGTAATTAGACATGGCATGGGCAAAGTCTGCATAAATACCTCCTTAACCCCTTTCACTGTCTAAGCCCCTGCTCACGAACTTTCTCTAAAATTAGTGTTTTGGAAACAAATCACTAAATTTTTTTGAGTTATCCCAGGTTCTCTACACATAGGCTGCTGTGTATGATAATCTATTAATGTATTAGTGTATACCTGAATAAAGTTTGTCTTCGCAACTACTCACGCTCTTTCCCACACCCACGCTATCTTTCCCACACTCACGCTCTTTCCTTTTCAGTATCTGGTATCCTGGGCATTGGTTTCGGTCACACTTCTCAAAACCGTGAAATTAATCTTCAAAGACACTTCATCTGTTAGAACTCACTTGGGAAGAGAAGTCCCAGATTCACGGAGTGAGGTATTTCTTGCCACTAAATATGGTGAACAAGGCGTACTGAATTGGCACAACCACAATGCACTAGGACCTCCATATTTTTTTCATACTAGGCACACAGACCCATTCTGTCGCATGTAGGCCTACCAGCTTCCTCCCACCAGATCTGAAGCTGCTAGAATTTTGGCGTAGTAGTACGGGACGACACTGGCTTGCAATATTACGGGACCAACAGTGAAAGGGTTAAGACTGTAGCGAGATGTGTAAATAGTTCAATATAAAAATTTAATTACCAATCTTATTACCCAGTCTCTGGATTCGTGCCTCTAATCTTCTGGCTACCGTGCCCACTATGGGTATGAGGTGCATAAAGCACATTCAGAGTAGTGAACTGTCAAAATGGGTACCTTATTTGTAACGCTAAAACTGTCACTTTGGGGTGACACTGCTAAACCTAAAACTTCACCTAAACGGTACAAAGTATCACTGGTTCTATTCTTTAAACTGAAATTCCCTACCCTTGTGCAGACTACATGCGGTGCAGTGCAGTAGAGCAGACAGTACTGGGACAACATACGTACAAGACACTGCTAGCCAGGAAAATCTGCGACACGCACTGCAGGAACTCTTCCATTATAATTAATGGTATAAACACTGCCGACATTGTCACTAAGGAAAGCAACGTTACACTTTCAAATAAGGCTTTCACTAATGTAATGATTACTGGAACAGTTTCTGCTGAAACTGTTAATTCTGTGAGTACTTTGGTTTGATTTTTCTTATCGGTACTGTAGTAAAGATGTACTATACAAGATTAGGTAAATAGCACTTAAGTTGCCTGTATCCCTTTTTGCGAATTTAGATTGACTACAGCTCCTTGAGAACGAAAACCTCTCACATTCAAATAACATTAGTTGCATCTGTTAATTTTTAACAGTATTGAATTAATTTGGATTTAGTAACTCAAAAATCCTTGTTAAAGTTCTGGGAGTGCTTAATGTAGAACTGACGACTTGCAGATGGTGGTCAGGAGACTTGCACACCAAGCAGTGTACACGGATCGCACCTCAACACAAACATTAGTTGGGAACTTCACCCTTAGTACAGTTTTGGTTAAGGGCAATGTTGCTGCTTCCTCAATCAATGGCCTAAATATTGTAGACCTAGACAGCAGTGTTGTGAAGAGACATGGTAACTACAGGCTGGCAGGTGAGGTCTCAGTGCAAATTTACAGTAAAGATTTTGACTCTAAATTTTAGGTAACTAATTTGGACGAAATAGCAAATTTAGAAAATTTTAATATTTTGCTATAGAGGGGCTAATTGTTGCCAAAATTTTAATAATTTTTTTTTTTTAAATCATCTTCCACACTTGAGGGATATTAGTTCTAAGACAATGTATCTTCAGGTGGTCTAGTGTTCGCTGAAGACTTGGTGGTGAGTGGATCAGTCCTGTTAGACAGCATAAACGAAGTACTTTGGAGTAACATTGTGGATACAAACTCTCTTGACCAAATTACCTCAACCTACCACTTCTCAGACGTGTCTATAGAGAGTTCACTAGACTCTGACAGTATTAATGGCGTAAATCTAAGTGATGGGCCAGTCCTTGTCGACACCAACCAGATAATAAACGGTAAGCAGTAAAACTTTAGACTTAAATAAATTTTCACTTTTCAGCATGACCTTGCCGTGAACTTAAACATTTCATTATACCAGTGTGCTCTTAACAAATATAAACTTTAATATTTGTGGTTGAGTGGACTGCTAAATTACGATCAGTAATTGTTAGTTTAGTATTTACCGCCTGCAGACTGCTGCTCACAGTACTGTAGGAATTACCACTCGAGAAGGGGTCTTTGATGCTGGTGAGATAAAGGGAATATAATGGCGAGATAACGTTGATCTAACAAGAGCTGTACCTATACCCATCTTAAGTGAGCATAACTGCCTCTTTCCTCCCTGCAGAGCTTCTCCATGAATGTAACTATGGGATGAAAGATTAAAATTGGATGGAAGAGTAGAGTATAATTACTTGGTATTGTATTAGTAAGTCTGCTGCCTCAGTTTGCAGTCCCCCCCCCCTCCTTGCTAATGTCAGGAGCACGCCTCCAGGAGTATGAATTTTAGGTAAATGTCCAAATTGGATGACAATCTTAACACTACTCTTCCCCCCTCATCCCTCTATAGACTGGTCGTACGATTGAGTACGTGAATGCTATGGTAAGCTCTGGATTGACTCCATAGAGGTGAACTTTGGTAACCATGACTGGTATTTATGGTTACCAACAAAAATTAAAACTTATAAGCGGCGGCTCGTATTTCTCGAATATTTAGACTAATTTAAATTTGGGATAAGAAATTGAAATACTATTAAGGTACCTGGGTGTTAGACTGGTGTGGGTGGAACCTTGGAAACAAGACTGAAGAATTACAAAGTCAGATGATAGACTTTATCCTGAACGGCTACCCTCCCTATCCCGGGTTAAGTGTCTTCATTGTTGTGCGTAGAGAAACTACATAGTGCTGCTTAGTTAATATTGACAGTGCAGAGATCACTGAAGATGCTTTCTAAAAGCTTTTCTTGAACTATTTTTTTCAGGCTACATAAACTTCAAGGAATCAGTAGGTGTGAGTGGGTCAGAAGGTGTAATAATGGAGGAAGGAGCTACAGTGAACACCATAGATCCCTCCAGCTTGCAGACACTATCTGGTGTCACCGGAACCCTTCTTATTGACGAGGAAATTATTTTCCAAAGTCCATTAATTGTAAGTTTTCTCTTAATGGTTCCCAAAAGTGTAACTAATTTTTTCCCCAGTCTTCTAGGCTTCTAAATTATTTAAAACTAATCTTACCATTTCAATTTTTTCAGTTGTCTGGTAATGTGAAGGCACCTAGTATTAATGGCTTTCTACTTGACAGTCTTGACACTCTGTACTGGCGAAAGTCTGAGCATCAGAGTATTGAAACTACTGGCTACATTCTGAATGCAGTGTTCCAGTGAGTGCTAAATGGCTTGAATTTCATGCAGAATACGGCAAAAAATTATAACTCGCTAATTGGTAATACTTGTACAGGGGTCCGGTGATGGCTGACACGCTGAATGGATGGATGATAACAGATTACCTGCAAAACACCGACCAGGAAACTGTATTTAGTGACTACTCTTTCCAGGTAGGATATCTGGCTTAAGAGGCACGAAAGTTCCCCAGTCTTTTAATAAATTTTAATTTTAACCCCCCAACTATGATCTACCTTGTCCATAATTACATTTGCTTTGTCCTCTTTCGTAAGCTGAAGTCGAGGATCTTTCCTTAATTCATGGTATAACTTTAATTGAAGACAATGCAAATGCAGTAATAATTATGGAAAAGTTAGATCATAGTGGAAAAATTAAAGTTATTAGAATAACTTGTCTTAAAAAAAAAAAGGAAAGTTTCCTAGCCATTTTTTCCTGACAAGCTAAGATTTCCATTCACAAAAGCTTTTCACCCACTTGTTCCCGAAGACTTGACTCGGGGGGGGGGGGGCCTGATTCAAAGGTTTTTATTATAACTGATAAATCTGTGAAAGGGCATGGATTTTGCCACTGCACTTCAGTTAAAATATTTAGTACTTGCAGGGCATGTAAGCCTTTCTAAAAGCCTAATGAGATATTCCTAAATTACAGGGTAGCGTGTTTGTCAGAGGTGGCCTAGTGATGAGAGACGGAAGCAAGATCGACAACGTCGATGTGTCTGAATTAATAGACCAAATTGTTACAGTAAACGGGTCTCAAACTATTTTTGGGCACAAGGTGATTATTTTCAAATAAGATTGTTTAGGCAAACTACAAGTGGCACAAAGTATTAAGATTTGTCTTAAATTGCAGAAGTTCATCGGAAAAGTGAATGTCGTAGACTTGGAGCTGCAAGGCAGACTGAATGGCTTAGACGTAACTAAAGACCTGATGAGACTGGACCAGAATCTCCCACAGACTGGTAAGATAACACTAAAATTATGAATTCATATTTGAACTAATTTAATAATTAATACATGGAAAAAAATTTTTTGCAGGCCATTTGACCTTCACCAGTCCAATAGACATGATGACATTAGATGTAGTGGAGGCTGATGTTACGCTGGAGTCTCTGAACGGCTTAGATGTCCTAACCACCGCTAATAACATGGTGCTTTTAGGTGAAAATGCCACTGTGAGTGACAGCAGTGGCCTCCAGTTCACCGGCGATGTTCATGGTACACATTAATTTTAATTACAAAATTAGCTGTCTTAAAAATTGCTGTTTATTCTTGTGGAGGGAAATTAGCAAATTACTACAGAAGTATAAAATTGCAGTAAAAGAATTACTGGTGCACGAGCTAGTGGATGGTGTAAACATCGAAGACTTGGTGCGGAGAGCCATAAAGAAATCTTGGAACACATCTCAGCGGATTTCCTCCAGAGTAGTTGTTGAGGGAGATGTTTACCTTGCCGGCCCAGCCTCCCTCTCCAGTGTTAACGGAGAAGACTGGAATGAACATCTGAACAACGTAAGTTTTTTTAGTTTGTCTGTTTTCAATTTAATACCTAGAATTTTAAGTTCACTTTATAAAGCTAAATTGCTCCCTTTAGGTTGTTCTCCTGAACTACAGCGGAGAGATCAGTGGTAGAAAGACCTTCACTCTGCCTCTCTACATGCAAGGACACTTCAACCCCACCATAATTAATGGTTTGAGTTTACACGACTTTTCTGCTAGACTTCTAACTCGCTCTGGGGAACAAGTGATCAGAGGAACTTACACCTTCACTGACATCATTGCAAGTAAGTGTGCAAGTGGCAGAATTTCATTTTCATGGATTATGTAAACCATCGTCACTAAATGTAAATTTTAGTTTCTGGCCTCAAACACCCTCAAGTTTGCAAAAGTAGAGGTTCGTTTATACATGATAGTTTAGCCAGAGGAGACAGACGTTAAATGGGGATGGGTGTGGGGGGGGGGGTGGATTACAGTAATAGATCTAACAAGAATTAAGATGCCATATCCCAGAGGCAAGAATATTACTTGTCATGGGTCTTTTAATTGGTACGAAATTAGCAACTTAATTATCTACTTATTGCTTGGGGATCATTACAACCAGTGAGAAACTTGACGCCTCCACCTACTGAAGGACTGAACTTGGAATATCTGGTTGAGCTAAAGGTTCTAAGAATTAAAACTTCGCCCAAAGTAACAAGTAATTAGAGATGTGCATTGTGTTTGTAGATAGTTAAAAATTCGATATTGCAATACTAGCATAACCTCACATGGGCAGTGAGGCGATTCACCTGGGAATTGCATGGTGCAAAGAATGTTCAACTGGAGAGATATAACGGGTATTTGTAATGTAAAATTAACAAGTCTAGTGATGTGGGGGGTGGGGGAGGTAAGGGAAGTTATTTTGTGGCAGTCGTAAACTTACTGTTTATTCCTATATATAAAAACTACACAGGAAACAGAACTGTTATTCTGAAGATAGTTTGATCTGGAGTCTGTCCACCTTGTTACCCTTTGTTGTCCTGGGAAACTAATCTAAACTTCTAACACAACGTCCAATGACGCGCCACCATAAAATGAAGTTTCTAGTGATGGTTTAATTCAAGAACCTAGTGGGTGGGGGATGGGGGGGGAGCCGCCGCCACCACCCCCACCCCCTTCCCCACAACCCCTCCCCACCAACCCCTCCCCCTTTGTCTAGCATGTACATCGAGGTTCTCCGATATCTCAAATCTTTCTTCAGGAGATAATGGAGTTCTTGATTCCACCCCCCTGACAGTTGTTAGCCCACTCTACGGAGTCCCACTGAGCAGCAGAATCAGTGGGTCTCAGGTGCGAGGTTCTGACCACAGCTTTGGCGAGATGGGTAAGGAAGGAGTGAAAGGTTAGGGGGGTGGGGGGGAGGTGGGGTTTTAAAGGTAAGTGGTGTAATTTGGACGAGTGTGCATGCGTGTGCACGAGTGTTGTGTAATTCGTAGAAAAGTTATGGTCTCAAAGGTCTAAGTTCATTTATCAGGACATGTTTGGCTCCTAAACAGGGAAAGTAACTTCAAGCACTTGAAAGATCTGGGCGCCCCACCCCCCACAGCCTCCACCTTGCTGGTGCTCTTCCCCCTTCCCCGTGTTGCAGCTTTATATTAGAATGATGGAATGACTGTACAGATATGGGTGACAACTGGTGGCAGGAAGCCCATAGTTATGCAGAGCATTTCGGTAAAGTGTGGAACTTTGTTAACCTTTCCACCTTTGTCATGGCTTTTACATTTTCCAGGGTGACTATGCACCTCTGCTTTTTAAGTCCATATATAATTTTTTTTGTGTAGAATCAACTTTTTGGTAACTGGTTTTATTAATGTTGGTAGATCATTTAAATTTTTATTAAATGACCAATAGTCAAGGTTGTCTATAAGAAATGACAGCAATTGGGAAGATACTTATCAAGAAAATTATAAACCTCGCTATTTCCATTAGCTTGCAGATACTGCTAACTCCTCTACCCCCTAAAGTTCCTTGGCATATACCAAATAGATTGTCGTTCGTAGTTCTAAAAATTTTTCAAGCACTTGTAAAAGCCTCTGAACTGACATTCTGATGGAATTTTAACTTTTAATTTGATTTTAATACTACTTGATTTAAAGCATATTAAATGGACATTTTATTTACCAGGTCGCTTTATTTTTTTTCCCCGATCTAAAGTTTTGATAATTTACTTAACATTTTCTTCCAGGAGAATTGTTTGCACCAATGATTGATGGACAAAACCTGAGCAACATCTTGCTGATAGATGAAGCGCAGCACGTCGATGGTAGTCTGATATTTAAGGAAGTTTCTATGTATGGCTTAACGTCTGACACTGGTGTCTTAGATGGCTGTGATCTTCAAAAGGTTACTTAAATTTAAAAGTCGCCTAGGAAATTTTTTGATAAAATTAATTTTTTTTTATATCTCAAAGGATTCTCTTAAAGCCAGAGTTGTCGGGTTTCAGCTTCAGAGTGGTGCGATATGGAAAGATGTCGGCGAGCTGAACATCAACGCTGAGGTGACTATTGATACCCTCGTGGTGGAAGGAGCAGCAACAGCTACTGCAGACATGTCTGCAGTGAAGGCGGGCAACAAAATAGACGTGATCAACTTCCTAAATTCACTGGTCCTGAAGTCTTCTGATCAAAATATAACTGGTAATTAAGAATTCCTAATTACAGCTATTTAAAACGAAAGCATTGCGTGTGTGGGGGGGGGGGTATTGTAGTACGTAAAATTAGCATATTAAAACTGAAAATTGCTCTAAAGTATTTAACATGAAGGATGTTGAGATTCCTCAAGCACATGCATGTAATTAACATTTTCTTTCTCGCCAGGTATGGTGCACTTTCTTAACGATATGCACTTCACCCACCTTAATGTAGACACGATCAACAGCGTTAATGTCGAAGAATTTCTACGCGTAGGTGTGATGAAAGACGAAAGTGTGGTAAGTAACTATACCTACTTCCTCTGTTTTCACCCAGGACAATACTAGCGATATTCCTGAAATAGATTATGTAGAACAGGATGATAAACTATGCACGATTGCGGTAACTAGTGACATGGTCCTCAGAGAAACTGAAACGAAACAAATCTCCAGGTCCTGATGAACTGGTTTGCAAGGGTGTTAAAGGAATGTAAAGAGGAACTTAGCATACCTTTGGCTAATCTTTTTATCACTACAAACTGGCATAGTGCCTGATAAGTGGAAAATGGCAAATGTAATACCTATTTACAAGGCAGGTGACAGGTCCAATAAACCTTATTTCCATAGTGGGAAAATTTATGGAATCTGTAATTGCCGAAGCAACTCGTAGCCATCTTGATAGGCACATATTGATTGATGAATCTCAACACTGTTTTACAAAGGGGCGTTCCTGTCTTAAGAATATACTAACTTTTTTCAGTAAGATGTTTGAGGAGGTAGATCATGGTAATGAATATGAGTGTATATGGACTTCAATAAGGCTTTCGATAGAGATCCACACCAGAGGCTATTGAGGAAACTTAAGGCACACGTAATAAAAAAAAATTTCTGGTTAAAGGCATGGCTGACAAATAGGCAGCAGAGAATTTCCATAAATGGGGAGAAATCAGAATGGGGGCAACGTCACAAGCGGTGTTCCTCAGGGGTCAGTGTTGAGCCCATTGTTTTTCACAACTTACATAAACGACATTGATGAGTGAATAAATAGCGAAATTTGCTATTTTTGATGACGCCAAAATAGGCCGTCAAATTCATTGTGGACACTAGAGCACTCAAGGATGATTTGAATACACTGATGCAATGGTCGGAGAAGTGGCAGATGCAGTTTAATATTGACAAATGCAAAGTTCTAAATGTTGGACAGGTAAATAACCATGCCACATACAAAGGTAGATCTTAATACTACAGATTGCGAAAAGGATTTAGTTCTGGTTAGCAGTAATCTAAAACAGACAACAGTGCATTAGTGCTCGCAATAAAGCTAACAATTCTTGGCTTCATATCTAGAAGTGTAAATAATAGAAGTCCTCAGGTTGTTCAACTCTATATATATCTTCGGTTAGGCCTCATTTAAACTGCTGCTCAGTTCTGGTCACCGTATTACATAATGGATATAAATGCTCCGGATAAACGTACAGAGGAGGATGACAGATCCCATGCATCAGAAATCTTCCCTACGAGGATACTGAGGGCCCTGAATCTGCACTCTCGAAAGGCGTAGAATTATGGGGGATATGATCGAGGTGTAAATGGAAAACAGGAATAAATAAAGGATGTAAATAACGTGCTGAAAATTTCTTGCCAAGACAGGACTCTCAGCAATGGTTTAATGTTGGAAAAATTGATTCAGGAACGATATAGGAAAGCACTTGTTTGGTAGTTGTGGATGAGTGGAACAAACTCCAGAGTACAGTTATTCAGGCTAAAACGTTTTGAAATTTAAAAAATAGGTTAGATAAATGTAAGAGTGGGTGTGGGTGGGTGAGAGTTGGACCTGACTAGCTTGTGCTGCTGGGTCTGGTACCGTGCTCCTTCTTTGAGTGGAGGTGACCAGACTGGGTGGGTCATTGGGCTAATCCCGGGGGGGGGGGGGGGCACATGGACATGCTCCGCAAGGGTCAGTAGGTCTGTTGCAGTGTTACTTTGTTCTTATATTTTGTTACTTACGTGGGTTTACATTGTAATTAACTTAAACTAAGCTCCCTTAATTTACAGGTAATAAACTGTGATTTGAGCTTCACAAAAGGATTGACTGTAAAGCATGTGGAGGTGAAGTCAGCCGTGTCAGGCGGCAGCAGCGGTGGTGTATTGCTGAACGGTGTCAACATCACTGATGTACACAGTCGTGCAGTCTATGCCGACGGTGGTTCAGTAGAAATTGTGGGAAGGAAAGTCTTCTTAAATGCTTTGTCCGTTCATCACCTGGTTGCTGGTAAGACTTGTATAAATTTTAATCCCCCCTACGCCCCCCCCCCCGGTCATTAATTTTGTAAGTTTAAATTTTCTTTCAAAATGTTTTGAAATTTTAAAACAGTATGTATGCATTAAAAATTTAACTGGCCTATAGGTTTAAAAGTGAAATGGGGATAAAATGCTTATTACCCCCCAAAAAAAGTGTATTTTATATAAACTCTATGGGCTCCATTAAACTTTAATGTATTTGGGTAGGTGCTCACTCCATGGGGAAGTGTAACGGAATGTTTCCTCCGTAATCCATGCGTGTCATAAGAGGCGACTAAAATGCCGGGAGCAAGGGGGCTAGTAACCCCTTCTCCTGTATATATTACTAAATTTAGAAAGGAGGAAGGAAGGTAGCTGCTCTGAGGTATCAGTCCCATGGGCTATGGTATACACGAGTGCAGTGTGACAGTTTGTAACTCAATTATTCATAATCAGTGAACATTTCAAGCTAAAAAGAAAAGCCATATGGCAATTTATCTGCTAATTTTCCTAAAAAGTGAAAATTTAGAACTTGCACAACCCAGATCTAAAGCTTCTATTTTAAATCCCGCCCCCCCCCTCTTAAAGTAAGAGGAATTTAAGACTGCAAATTCTTGCTTGCATTCTGTTTAAAGTTGAATCTAATGTAAAAATTGCTTTTAAAGACTTTAACTCCCCCCCCCCCCCGCGCATAAAATTTATAAGGTACTTAAGCGCGCGCATATATATATATATATATATATATATATATTATATATATATATATATATATATATATATATATATATATATATTATATATATTATATATATAATATATATATATATATATATATATATATATAATATATATATATATATATATATATATACACACACACACACATACATTCATTCATTCATTCATTCTACATTTTTAACAAGTCGGCCGTCTCCCACCGAGGCAGGGTGACCCAAAAAAAGAAAATCCCCAATAAGAAAATACTTTAATCATTCAACACTTTCACCACACTCGCACATAATCACTGTTTTTGCAGAGATGCTCAGATTACACGTTTGCTTCTAAACTGTTGTAAAGATACACAACATATCCCTCCAAACTGCTAATATCCCGAAACCCCTCCTTTAGAGTGCAGGCATTGTATTTCTCATTTCCAGGACTCAAGTCTGGCTATATAAAAATAACCGGTTTCCCTGAATCTTTCACTAAATATTACCCTGCTCACACTCCAACAGATTGTCAGGTCCCAAATACCATTAGTCTCCATTCACTATAGAACACGCCTGCTGGAAGTCCAAGCCCCTCGCCCACAAAATCTCCCTTACCCCTTTCTTCCAACCTTTTCGAGGACGACCCCTACCTTTCCTTCCTTCCCGTACAGATTTATACACTCCACGTCATTCTACTTTGATCCATTCTCTAGATGACCAAACAATCTCAACCCCTCTTCAGCCCTCTGACTAATACTTATAACTCCACACCATATCCTAATTTCCACTCCGAATTTTCTGCATATTTACACCACACATTGCCCTACAGGGCAGCTCCACTGCCTCCAACCACCTCCTTGCTGCTGCATTTACAACTCAAGCTTCACACCCATATAGTGTTGGTACTACTATACTTTCATACATTACCTTCTTCGCCTCCATAGATAGCGTTTGTCTCCACGTATACCTCAATGCACCACTTTTTTTTTTTCTCCTCCCCTCGTCAATTCTATGATTAATCTCATCCTTCATAAATTCATCCGCCGACACGTCAACTCCCAAGTATCTGAAAACATTCACTTCTTCCATACTCCTCCTCCCCAATTTGATATCCAATTTTTCTTTATCTAAATCATTTGATACCCTCATCACCTTACTCTTTTCTATGTTCACTTCCAACTTTCTACCTTCACACACTCCAAGCTCATCCACTAACCTTTGCAATTTTTCTTTAGAATCTCCCATAAGCATAGTATCAGCAAAAAGCAACTGCATAAATTCCCATTTTGTACTCGATTCCCCATAATTTAATCCCACCCCTCTCCTTCTCCCGAACACCCTAGCATTTACTTCTTACAACCCCATCTATAAAAGTATTAAACAACCATGGTAACATTACACATCCCTGTCTAAGAACTACATTTACCGGGAAGTAGTCTTCCTCTCTTCTACACATCCTAACCTGAGCCTCATTATCCTCATAAAAACTTTACAGCATTTAGTAACTTGCCACCTATTCCATATACTTGCAACATCTGCCACATTGCTCCCCTATCCCCACTATCATATGCCTTTTCTAAATCCATAAATGCAATAAAAACTACCTTTATCTAAATACTGTTCACATATTTGCTTCAGTGTAAACACGATCTACACATCCCCCTACCCATTCTGAAACCTTGTTCATCCACAATCCTACATTCTTGCCTCTAATTCTTTAATTATAACCCTACCGTACACTTCTCCTGGTATACTCAGTAAACTTATTACTCTAATTTTTTTATGATCTTTTATCCCCCTTCCCTTTATATAAAGGGACTATACATGCTCTCTGCCAATCCCTAGGTACCTTCCCCTCTTTCATACATTTATTAAACAAAAATACCAACCACTCCAACACTGTTCACCCTGCTTTTAACATTTGTCATGATCCCGTCAGTTTCAGCTGCTTTACCCCCTTTCATTCTATGTAATGCCTCGCACACCTCTCCGACACTCGCATCCTGTTCATTCCTAAAAGATGGTATACCTCCCTGGCCAGTGCATGAAATTACCGCTTCCTTTCTTCGTCGACAAAAGTTCCTAAAAATATCCTCGCAGTCTACCCAAAACCTCCATCTCCCCCATCTACTACTCTCCTCCTGTTTTTAACTGACAAATCAATTTCTCTAGGCTTTCTTAATTTGTTTAACTCAATTTTTTTTTTTTTCATTAAAATTTCTTGAGTGCCTCTCCCACTATCATCTGCTCTCCTTTTGCGCTCTCACCGCTCTTCCTTTCTTTTGCTCTCCATATACTCGACTCTTCTTAACACTTCTGCCTTGTAAAAACCTCTCATAAGCTAACTTTACCACACCCTTTACTTCATCATTCCACCAAACACTCCTCTTTCCTTCTGCACCCACCCTCCTATAACCACAAACTTCTGCCCCACATTCTAATACTGAATTTTAAAAAATATCCAACCCTCTTCAACCCCCCCCCCCCACTACTCGTACTTGCACCAGCCCACCTTTCTGCCAATAGTTGCTTATCTCACCCGAACTTACTTCCTCCCTTAGTTTATACACTTTCACCTCTTGCTTGTTGCCATTTTCCTCTTATCCCATCTACCTCTTACTCTAACTGTAGCTACAACTAAATTATCAGATATATCAGTTGTCCCTATAAACATGTACATCCTGGAGCCTACCCATTAACCTTTTATCCACCAATACATAATCTAACAGACTACTTTCACTATGTGCTACATCATACCTTGTATATTTATCCTCTTTTTCATAAAGTATGTATTACTTATTACCAAACCTCTTTCTACACATAGCTCAATTAAAGGCTCCCAATTTTCATTTACGCCTGGCACCCCAAATTTACCTACTCCCTCCAACATTTTTGCCCACTTTAGCATTGGAATCCCCAACCACAAGTACTCTCACACTTTGTTCAAAACTCCCCACGCATTCCCAAAATCTCTCTCCTCTACACTTCTCTCTTCTCTAGGTGCATAAAAGCTTATTATAACCCGCTTTTCACATCCATCCTTTATTTTACTCCACATAATCCTTGAATTAATACATTTAATATTCCCTCTTTTCCTGCCATAACTTATCCTTCAACATTATTGCTACTTCTTTAGCTCCAACTCTAATTGAAACCCCTGACCTAATCCCATTTATTCCTCTCAACTGAAATTCTCCTACTCCATTCAGCTTTTTCACTTAAAGCCAGGACATCCAGCTTCTCATTCATAACATCCACAATCATTTATTCGCACAACATCCATGCACATTCAGACGTCCCACTTTGACAATTTTCTAATTATTCTTTAGTAATTATTACAGGAAAAGGGGTTACTAGCCCATTGTTCCCGGCATTTTAGTTGACTTTTAAAACACGCATGGCTTACGGAGGAAAGATTCTTATTCCACTTCCCCATGGATATAAAAGGAAAAGTAATAAGACTAAAAGCTATTAGGATAAAATCAATGAAAACTGAGTGTATATACATAAACGTGTACATGTATGTGTAGTGTTACCTAAGTGTAAGTAGAAGTAGTAAGACGTACCTGTCCGTCTCAAATATGCAAGATAACAAAAGACACCAGCAATCCTATCTTGTAACAGTCATAGGCCTTCGTTTTACTCCCTTGGCAGTACGGTAGTACTCCCCTGGGTGGTTGCTGTCTACAAACCTACTATATACTTCTTGAAGCAGATCAAATGCTATTCTCTTAGTTTTTTTTTTTAATAAATTTCTTCCTATCTCCACTAATGGTGGAAGTTTGAATCCAACCAGGTAAGTCGTTCTCCAGTAACTGGTCCCAGTCACTGAAATTACGAGGTTTATTATCCTTCGGGCTAAGTGAATCTATAGTATTTTGACGTCTACCAGAAACATTAATTAGTTGTCGGCCGAATCATTACTTTAGAAACCCACTAGTGGTGAAAATTTGAAGCTGATGAGCCATAATGCAGTTATGGCACGAATTTGATTCAAAGTGCCTTAACTATTTTACTAAATTTTTAACCACTCGCGCACCCCTTCCCCCCCCCCCCCCCCCCCCCCAACAAAGATGGGTACTATCCTGGCTGTAAGATGCATCGGAAATTTGTAACTAGTCTAAAAAGGTAATTTAAAGTAGATTTAACGATAAAAAATAATTTCGCAATTTTTACACTAATCTGCAGCTACTCTTAAATTTCGCTCTCCACCGTCGAATTAAAACTCGCTGCTGCTTCAATGTTCTCAACTTTGCAGCTGAGTTTGAAATTCATTCCAGGA